GTGGTCCCATCACATCAGTGGCAACCGAAGTTGATGCTTAAAGAATTTAGGTGGTACGGCTCATAATTAATGTCAGTGGCGCAGATGCATCTACACATTATTTTCATCTCAATCAAGCTAAATTCCAGTATCCTCTCTTCCTTCCCTTTTCTTTTTTGGTGGTTTTTACCTTTTTTTTCTTTCATCGTGGTGTACTAATATGAGGCGTGGTGAATTGGACTGTCATTCAGTAATTCCAGGTTCTATGCTAATTGTCTGTCTGTATAGTAGGTGAAAAGCCATAAAGATGAGTTGAATAGTGGAAACCAATGAGGAATCAAGAAATGAAACAAAGAAAATAAAAAGGCTTATAGTAACAAGAAGTAACGAGCTTTTAAGACAGGGTGTTGATATATATATATATATATATATATATATATATATATATATATATATATATTTGTCGGGTATCTGACCAACACTTTCTAGTAACATCACATAGTTTACTCATCAAGTCTTCAATTATGAGCATAATACTAACCAAAAGGTACTAACTTCATGGAGTTTTGTCATATTTCCACTTGAACATCACTTGAAATTCTGTTTCATGAACAGTTGTTAAGTTGTTTAAAAATTATGACACTAGTAACATTTGTATATATGGTGGATGCAGGGAACAAAATACTAGCCAGAACACAACATAATCACACGATTAAATTCAAGTTTACTGCTTATGGTTATGGGAAATATTACTGGAAATTATGGTATGTTTGGTAATGTCAGTCACATGAATGGATATATCTGTTAAGTATTAATCTATGTGTACACATTTCACTCTTCCTATAAGGATTTCTCTGTTTTTCACGAATATCTGCAGCATCTTGCTCACTGACTCGAACACTTAACTTTGAAGTAATGGATCTCAGGTTCAAACCCATTTCTTTAACTACTTCGGCCTAGGCAACCGACTGATATCATAAGCCTACAGGCTAATAATGGCTCATAGCCTAGTACCTAAAACTTAATTCATTTGGCTGATTTGCACGAACACCTGTCGTGTTATTCGACGTTTTCGTTGTCATTTCTTATGCTTAGTTGAATTATTTTCATGTACAGATTAACCTGAATATTTCATACTTCCTCTACTTGGTACGAACTAACAGACTGAAGGTCTTTTTGTCTATTAATTGTTTACTGGTATGTAGACTTCGGAATAAGGAGGTTAATAATCGTTATTGTCTAGCTGCTGTGATTAGTCAACCACTTGGTAGTGTAATGAATAATAATTTTTAGAGGAATTCACGTTTTGGCATTGATTTAGTCGGTATTTTCAATGTTTGTTTCAGAATCATTTTATTGGTTTCTGTTTTTGTTTTTTGATTATCACTACCAGTGGAACACCTATCGCTCATGTTAGAAATGTTTATGAAAATTGTCATTGTTGTTAAACATGAGAGACACATAGTCATTTGCGAAATTAATGAAATTTTACCGTTGGCTTAGGTTATAGTCGTTTGCAGAATTCGTATAATTTCCTCACTGTATGTTTGTAGGATCCTCACTCGATCGATAGCTGCTACCTTGATGTGGTGGTCGAGTCTATATATCTCAATTATCCAACGAGTCACCCTGTCTAGAACGCCTTTCCCTCGATGTCCTAATGTACCAAAAAGGTCTGATGGTTATTGGTAATAAGAAAAGAAGTTTACTATTATAGTGTAAATTGCTTCGCTATGATGGGAATCCGAGGGCGAAGTCGTGCTGCTGACTAGATGGAGTGTGACAGCAGTAAGGTGTTTCTCAAGGATGATGGAACTGGCGGTCTCCGAGTTATCGGCTCAGTGTTCTACCTACTGAGCTGCGAGACCCATCTGCTGACCGAGTCTCAGTTCCACTTCTAATTCCCCCATGACCTAGATTCTCACTTCATCTCCAATCATCACACAATATCACTATAAATGGCAGTTAGTTTCACCATCAGCTAATGTATAGTATAAGTAGTCAATCATTCGATTATCTTTAGGGACAGTTACCATGTAAGTGCAATGAATTGATGTATGCAGAATTCATACGGAAAGTAGTTGGTTAACTAACCCAGTTTATTCTTCAATTAAATAGAGATCAACACAATACGTTTCTCCAAACCAAGTGTATATGCAACAACACAGCTGATTTCAAGCACAAAGTAACGAACTAAGACTTGAAGTATGATCAAGTGGGAGAGCGTGAACAAGATATTGAATTTCGAACGTATTTGAATTACTTTTGGTAAAATATTTCGCCTACAATTTTATTGTAAGAGAAAGACTTATATGACATGTACATACGAATAAAAAAGGTTGTGAAACCTTGTTGTAATGTTTGCTTTTTCCACCTATTGGTTGCTCAGGGCATTGATTTTTCACATTTGACTGTCTACAAGACCCATACGTTTTTCAGCACAAGCTTCTGTTACTTCTGGCCCCTACTTTTTTATGTATGTAGTCGAGCTGATAAATTTTTTTCGGCATACTTCACATTTGATGCATAGGTAAAGTACACTGAGTTGTGAGACACTTTCGATTGTTATGGTATCCTATTAAATATGTCTTCAAAGCTGAATTTAGGACTACTAGCTGTAGATAATGAAGAGATTTGGTGTGGAACAGTTCTTAATTAATCTTAAAAACGACGTTTCAAACATAACTGGTGGTTGTGATGTTTTGCGAATATGGTAAATACCAATACTATCATTTTTGTATATTCTAATCATCCCGAGCATATAATACCTATATCCCTTAGTGCTCATGAGCTAGCAAAACTATCATTATGGTTAGTAATTTGACACCTGTATCTCAAACATAGTTTGTTAAAACCAGCGAAAATACATCTCATTCACAGTCCCAGCATGCTATGTTTCGTCGTCGACCTCTGCAGAGACTTTCATTTTGAATGAGTATGCTCGTCTTTCTTAGTGTCTAGTTTTGAGGCAGGTATGTCAAAGGGAATAATTACTTTTCGGACAATATACCATTTCAGCATATAATAAGCAACAACGTAATGCCATACATAAATATAAAGCTGTTGTTAGTCTCTCTTAGAGAATGAACGATTACAGATTCACAAAGCATGTCTTAATTTTCTTTGTGCTGTAGTTTACTAGTCTTATCTTTCATTAGGGACAAACCATTTGCTAATCTCATCTGTTTGAATTGCTGGCTACTAACTGTATGCTTTGTAATTAAAACAACTTTTATCACTGCTAAAGAGTGGGAGTGTTATCATCCCAGCAAGGTTTTGCAAACATTTACACTTTGATTTCTACCTAAAAGAAAGTAACAATGTGGTTTGTTTCCTGATGGTCATGCGATATGATGAAAGATGAAGTGCTTATTGTTTTATATGACGACTTGAAATATTGTTATATATTGTTAGTTCGTGATGCTTGCACATTTATGTATCAAGTGGTAACCTTTTGTATCAATATTTATAAAGTGGTAGTGATTTGGATGAGGAGCTATTCAACATGAATGCTAATCGATGTTGGTTGGTTGGCTGGCTTATGTGTACGTCGTTTTCTGTTTTTATTGGGTATATGTGTATCTGCTGTCATTTGGCTGGAATTCGCTCAATATTTATGTGTATCTAATCGCGTTCACTTCGGTTTAGAATCTCTATAATCATCATAATAGTCTATTAGTAAAGATGCACATCATAAACTCAATATTACTCAACCACTAAAAATTAATTAATGAATCAATATCCCCTGATTTTGTCATTTGATCAAATGTGAAATGTGATTTTTAAAATTATTTTTACCGAAAAGAATGAGTGTGGTTTTCTAATAGGGTTAGTAAACCTTCACAAAAATTAAAGTATATATGATGAAAAAGTTACATTCTTTAGGTGAATGTCAAGTATCAGGTGTTTAGTACACAACCACTATTACTTCTAACATCAAATAACAATGTTAAGATTTTATTCAGAAAAAGAGGTAGTATTAGTCACAAAACTAGTAAGGAAAATTTGCAACTCTGCTGTAATATAATTTCGATTCAAGTCCCAACACTTTTACGCATGAATAATACTGAAAGTTTGTAAGCAGTTTTGAAGAATTTATATGATCTACCTCCTGAAACGACTAACTGTGTCTTACAGACTTGTAATGGAATGTAACATACTACTGTTCTTCAAACTTATAGCGAAGTGATTGTCACTTGAACAGTCCTTAAAAATACATAAAAGTGTAAAATGGTTGTTTTCCTTAGCTATATGTAGTGTGCATTATAAACTTCATTGGCCAGCATATACAGAGTATGCGTGAGCCAGTGTATTTACCGTATTGTATTGGTTGCTTTGTATATGAAAGTCCTGACTGATGATCATAATGCTTCTGTGTTAATTTGTATTTTGTCGTCATAAACACTTCTCAGCAACTTGTAACGTAAATTAGAGTTATTATTCAAATTCACGTTGAATGAGTTTAGAAAAACGTTTTTATTTTTCAGATTTTGTTGAGTTTTCGTTGTTCATCGATCAAACTCTGTCAGCTACGCAATCTTTTTCGGGGTGGCTTAAATATCCCCGTTAACTACTTCCTGATTGGGTGCTGATTTGCGAAATAATTTAGGACCAATATTCCTTTAATATTGGGAATGTGTCGAATGAATGTCATCTTGATGAGTGTTTGTTTACTTGCTGAAATACAGTTCCAGTAACTCATATCAAACAACAGCGTTGGTCACTGGTCCACATACTGCTGAAGACAGACTTTCACATCATTGTAAATCAACAGCAGTGATGTAACAACCTCTTTCAGCAACTAGTAAAAGATAAGCACAAAGTGGCCGTCATTTTTCCCCTAGTTGTTTGTTTTTGAAAATCGTTTTCATATTAGAACCATTTATATTGTAGTCAACTGCTGTATGGTTTCCAGTTTACAAGGCCTATTTTTCGTTTTCTTGTTAACTATATTTCTTTTTCTCTTGTTTTTGTGTAAAAATAATGATATTCTTACTGTACATTTGTATTTTTTCATGCAGCAGAAGCTTACTTCAAAGGATATCAGTAATCCATCAAACTTTCGTCATATTGAACATGTTGGTTATGACAGAGAGGCTAAAACCTTTGACATATCCTCCCAAGAAAGTGCAATCATGCGTAATATACTACGTGCTATTGGCCGTGAGGATGCCATGAATATACCAAGTGAACGAAAATTCGTTTACAATTTTGCACGTGAACATGGTGGTTTAGAAGAAGTAAGTATTTGTCTTTAAAGTATTAATGGGTTTTTATATCCATGCCATTGACTTGTTTCCTTAGTAAAATGTTATTATAATCAGAATACTTACATCATGTTTTCTCTTTCTGGATATTGAACATTTTCCTCCGACTGTATTCTGTAACATTTTGCTGACATGAATTCATTTGTTGCTTATTTTTAGCTATTGATTCAGAGCTAATATCAGGTTAAAGGAGTATAGAATTCTGGAGACAGCTCATGGCAGTTGTCATCAAAAGTCAGTGTTGGTTGATTACAAAAACACTTCTTTGTAGTCTAAGATACTTGGAGCTTTGGCTCATCGGTCTATACTCTTGACCCATTTGTTCTTTGTATGGTGCTGTGAAATGTGGCAGCCTGAACCGATGCACTTCTATGCCAGATTCTACGTTGATTTTGTCTATCTATTTTGACTTTCAATCAGTAGATCATGGTTCATAACTATGCTTCACCTACCAAATCAGGGAAAGACATGTGTTATCATTAACCTTCACACAGTAGCTGCGGTTCGTTACTTACTGCAGTTGCTTGCTGAATAATTTCCGGTCCGGTCTAAGTTATAGTTGTTTCACACTACAATCAAAAGTTATGGTTTATAGGACCTCTGAAGTATCGTAATACCACCCATGATATCAGAATGAAAGCATGCCTCTATCAAATTTTGATCAAAGTGTTTAAACTTCAAGTCATTCAGACTTGGCCACAATATGTGGTTATATCTTAATCTAAAGGTTTTCCAACTTTGATTTTGTAGAGAGCCATGAGTTTGTCCGTTATTGTATCCGACACCTACGAAAATCAAACCTTCTCTATTTTTTCTTGAGTTTTTTGGCAGTTTTTCTTTTGAGTGGTGTAAAATGCTATAGAAAAGCATCTTCAAGTGAAATTGTTTACTTGTTGCTTTGAATATTGTATTAATAAACTTTTCGATGGTGACTTACATCAACAGCTAAATTATCAGAGGACCATTGATGTGGTTTCAGTGATTCTGTATCTTCCAGTCCTTTGAATGTCTTATAAGTCGATATACGTTCTTGCCATATCTACTTATGCCTACCTACTAGCATACTTTTGTATCTTTCTCTTTCTGTCTTTCCTATGTGTGCTGCTGGTTATAATTTACACAATCCATATTGGAATTTCCTATATCCAATAAGTTTCTTAACCATCTAATAATAGGATTTCGATAAAGTCCTTGACAATTGGAACAACAGTATCTTCCACTAACAATACATATTGCTTGTCGGTATGAGCACTTGAAGATCATATGCACCAAAACTGGTGGTTTCTTTAGCTAGTTCAAAGTAACCTAAACACTAGATATCTGTTTCCCTTGATTAGGTTAAACTAATCGGCTAAGAGTCCTAATAAATTCGAACGGAATGGTGTATTATGAATTGGATAAACAATTTCCAGATTATTTATAAATTGTGTGGTTCATTTCAACAATTTTGATATTAATCTGGTGGACGAAACTCCACCCCAAGCAAAATGTCAAGCAGCATCATCCTGGAGAGACTAAACAATGCCCTGGATTCAAAATTACGACCGGAACAGACTGGCTGGCTTCAGGAAAAACAAATCATGTGCGGATCAAATTGCAACGCCACACTACGCATCCATCATAGAACAGAGTGTAGAATGGCAGTCAACTGGATCTTTACCTCAACTTCATCGACTTGAAAAGGCCTTCGACAGCGTCGACCGAGAAGTAATTTGGCAGGCAGCTGCTTCAACGCTACGGAGTGTCATTAGTCTTTATCAACCTCATTCAACAGTTATGTGTTATGTGGTGCTACATGCCAAGTGATTGACAATGGACAGCTCAGTGACTCCTTTGAAGTGAAGACAGGAAGGAGTAAGACACGGCTGTCGCCTACTACCATCGATGTTGTTCCAGATTGTGGTCGACTGGATCAGACAGTAAACCATGAGGAGCTGTGAGAAGATGGACATACGCTGGACGGATGAAAAGAGCCTAGAAGAAGATTTGGATTTCGCCGCCGATGATGATTTATGTCTAAGGTCTTGCCACAAAATCTGAAAGATGTACAGACGAAAACCGGCAAGTTGACAGAAGAGGCAGGGCAACGAAAAGGGAACTTCAAGTGAATGTAGAGAAGATGGAGGTGATGAAAATACCCAACCAATAACAACATCATCAACAACAAGAGGCACCAATCACCATTAACGGGAGAAATCTAAAGGAAGTAGTCTTTTTCACCTACCTACCTACCTAGGCAAGCAGGCAGACAGGCAACATCGTTTCAACTACAGGCGGTGGCGAAACAGATGAGGATGTCAAAACCAGGATTGGAAAGACAACAAGTCAGGCTTTCATTAATCTGAAATCAGTGTGGAGATCTACTGCACTCAGCACAAAGCGTGGACAAGATCCGGATTTTCAACACCAATCTCACTGAAGTCAGTGCTTCTTTGTGATGGTTGAGAGACTTGGCGCGTCACTTAAAGCATTTCCATCAAACTACAGGCAATCATGAACAGCTGCCGCCTAGACTGGCTCGATACTGAAGATCAGATGGCCAGAACAGTAAGAATAAGCAACAAGGAACACACTCTGGCTGGCAACGAACCAACGAAGCAAGAACCTGTCATCCAACAAATATGCAGAAGAAGAAAGTGGAGATGGATTTGATTGAGCATACACTGAGAAGGCCGATTGGGGACATCATGTGCGAGGCGAGTTTCTCGAGTGGAACCCGAAGGGGAAACGAGGAGTTGGGTGTCCCAACTGAGTGTGACGTGGAGGAGATGATGTGAGGAAGAAATGAAAGCTTGTGGGTAGTCGTGGAGGGGGGTTGAAAAGACTTCAGAGGAGAGAGTGCAATGGAGGTGTGCTACTGAAGCTCTATGTTCCAGTGGGAACCCAATGGACAAATAATAATAATAAACTTGTATATATTACAAACCAACACAAATACAAAGTTATGCACTAGGTAATATGCACATAATCTATACGGTATGACTGTGATCGTAATAGGTGAAGTGAATCAGCCATTTTACAACTGTATGTTGAGTGTATGACTAACTACACACTGTCGAGTAATTCAATAAATAAATTAGCGAATCTCATGAAAAAGATATTGTCTATTAGTTTCGTGCATTTATTTAAATGTATTCTACTCATTAATAAATAGTGCATGGTCAACCTTATCCGGTTACCGACATAAGTATTAGCATCTGAATTTATGTAAATTATTATGCTACACTTATTTGATCAATAGGTTTTCTTTATTCCGTTTGTTGACTGATGCTAGTAATCATCTTTCACTAATTCACTTTATAAATAACACAACTATTGTTTGTAATTATTATATGTTTGATTAATCAGTACAATATCAGAATATATGGCATAGTCTCACGCAATCAAATGACTAATTTTTCATAATTACAATATTGATGACTGAAATGCCGAAATGATAGTTTTGTATTCACATTTTCTCTTTCTGTTTTGATTTGAAGCGCGCTGATACACTTTTATGTGAAATTCTATCTTGTTGCTTGCTTAAATCTGTGTATTTGTCAGCACGCAAAATATCGATGATTATCATGGTGAAACAAGTATTTTAATTGGTATTTCATTTGGGTTTACAGATACTGTGGTGAGCAGGTTACCGTCAGAGGGTTATTTAGTTTTCAGATGTAAACTTTTTAAGAGCTAACTTGCTAGTGAAGTGATTCGATAATGAGGACTAAAATTTTGTTTTTTAGATGTTAGTAATATTATGTAACTAAATAGATTAATTCAAGGAACTATTGAACTTTTGCTTACTGCTTCAACATTAGTATGTAGGGATCGATTGATTTCAAGGTGGAATAACATCAATTACAGGACCATTGGAAGTTTCAAAACACAGGACAACTGTTTCGTCTTAGTTTGGGACTGTCCAACAGTGTATATCCATGACCTCACCGGGGATAGAACCATGGAGCGTCAGATTTCACGGTGATTAAGTTACTATTCAGCCCTTGGATTATGCTTCATATTTTCTTAATTCTCTCAATTTCTGATATAAATATGATCATCATCCAATGCTATTGGCTAGTGTTCTTTTTTTCACTCAACTTTATCGACTCCTAAGGTCATGGTTTATCGTCGGGACTTGTGGAAATTCATCTCGAAGTATGTCGCTAATAAGCGCTAACTTATTACTAAATTAAACGCACTTGGTCACTTTATGCACATCCCTACAGTAACCAAGGAACCATTGCATTTGTGTGAGGGTTAGTGATACTGCCTAGCTGGCCAAACCTCTGTAAGTGGAACGGGGTTCGAACAATGAGCACAAGATAGTGGTTCAATCAGTGGTTAACTTACTTGCATATATTTCAAGGAAGAGCTGGAAAAGAGCATCCTTTTGAGAGAATTATTCAACCATATTGAAAAACGTTTTGTGATCTTTAGTTGATTTTTTCCAAAATGGAAGCTATCTTTCGAATGCATGCAATTTACTAAAGAATATTTCGTAAAACTTATTTATTCCAAACCTTCCAAGACCGTCATCATCACTTTAAATTTTGTTGTTCTGGCGAACTAGTGTAATACTTTTGCTTTCTTTCCCGGCTACTTTGTTTCCCACTTACCTCCATTCCAAAATTTTCTGAAGTAAGTGTGTATTCAGTATGTATATGGGGCTATAACTACGCCAAGATTATCTGAATACATGTATTCTTTTAGTTATTGAAATTCATCGGTAAGATTTGATGCAACTTCGAAGGAAAACCGCTCGTTTTCAATAACTTCTACTAAATAAGTGTGTTGGTAATCTATATTATTAACGTATACGACAATCTTTAGAGATTAATTAGTTTCCTAAAAATGATGCGAATAATTCCGGAAATATAGTACGGAGGGGGAAGGTGGGCACCGAGATTTAAAAATAAATGATACCACAGTTTTTATACAAATTCGCTGTATTTATCTGAAATATGAGTGAATCTTTAGCCAGCTACAGTTTAACCATATTTACCGACGTTAAATTCAGATGCGATTCATCTAACTGGATACATAGCATCAATTTGAGTTGCATGTGTATTCAATTGAATCCCATGCTAACTGTGTGCGCTTAAATTGAATTAAAGACTGTTTCTGCTTAAATGAACGGTATCCTAAATACTTGTGACAAAAGTGTAGTTCACTTATACTGAATTATATAGTGATGATGATTGTAGGGCCAACTTTGTCTGATTTTGTGAAATGTTTATCGAAATGGTATTTGTTGAACTGTCCGGTAACGCATTATTTGATCTCAGATATCTGTTTGGTAAACAACAGTCAAAAGCAATCAAATAAGCTTTATTACACTGTCTGGTCTTTTATGACACAGTTATATTATCTGAAAGTGTTTCATAGATCCTATCGTGTATACGTATCGTAAATAACTTTCAGTTGTCAGGCTGATGAAGTTATCTTGTTATGTTTTTATTAATGTATTACTTGGATTTTTGTTTGTAGATACAACGGCAGATAAACAGTTCCCAGAGTGATGGTCGTAATGCACCAAGTGCTCCTCCTCCTCCGAGACCACCTCCTCCCCCACCACCTTCCGGGCCTCGCCGACCACACCCAGGACCTGCTGTTCCTGGACCACCGTCAAACATACACCATCCACCACCTCCTCCTGTGCCTCTAGTTGCCCCGAAACCAGTCGCACCACCACCACCTACTTTACCTGCACCTCCTCTCTTTGAAATTCCTGCCCCGCCACCACCTCCCCTGCTTTTCCTAGTTCTATACCTGCTCCTCCTCCTCCTCCTCCACCCCTACCATCGTCTGAACCTGATGGTTCTGGAAAAGAAAATACATCAAGTACAGTTGCTCCGAAGCCTGCAGCAGGTTTGACTGTTGACTTACAATCTCAGATTATGGCCTTTCAAAAGAGTAATCTGCGTAAGGTGAGTCTTTTGTGATGATGAACTCATCTCTATACATTTACTCTTTGTAGCTTAGGTTTTTAAGCAGCTGTTGAATGGTTTGTTTCGAGTTGAGAAACATGAATATCGTTTAATTTATTTTAATTACTGATGGACTTAAGGGATCAACTTGTTAAGTTCGTATGCTTTATTCAAAGCGTTAAGTAGATGCAGAAACACTGATACTGATCTCATCTCCATAAGAGAAAATTAATTGAGTGAATAGTTTATCTGTCTACCTAATTGGTTGTTATTTAGGAATGAGAAAAATTCAGAACTGCTTATCTGTCGACAGGAAAAAATGTAGACTGTGAAGAATCTGTCCAGTGTATAAGTGTAAAACTTGGGCACTGTGATAGTGTGTAATTCCATATTAGATTTGTTTATTTGATGTATATCGCACAGTGATACAGTATTTATCTACTTGATTACGTTTTGAGCATACATTATTGCTCTTAATAATATCAATGTGATATGATATGATTATGAGCTTTAATTTATGCGCAAAACGTGAAGTAAATAATACTGTGTCGCTGTACCAAATATATCAAATAAACAAATTTAATATGGAATCTGTCTAGTGTTTGCGATACATTCAACTTTGATTTGATTTCGTTATTTGATACTTGGAATCTCCCGTTACTATACTGAGTCTAATTGCTAGATATCTGTTGGCAGATGGGCTCCCATGCGGATGCCTCAATACTGCCTGTCTACTCATTGTGTTGTAACTTGGTAGCTAACAGTGGGATTCAAGATGCGCGTTCCATCCTATTTGGGACTCGTCAGCTGGTTGTACCTGCACTCCAGTGAGTGTTGTTCCCACTTATACTCGAACCTGGTACCCATCGCTTCAAACGCCAAAGCGTTATCCACTAGGCCATTGGAGCACAAGAGCCATCTCTTATGTAACGGGTATCCTGAATCTTTTCTGAATATATGAATTTTTAAACAGGATTTTTCTTGGTTTTCTATTTCAGATTACTCCTGGTGAAGGTGTGAATAAACCTCCCGTGAAATCCAGTGGTGGTGCTAGTGGTGGTGGAGGAGGTGGATTCGACCTGCTCCAGTCACTTGCCCAAGCAATGGAGATGAGACGTAATCGAATGTGTAGTAATGAAAGTGGAGAGGAGTCTGATGCAAATTCTGTCCCAGGTGACGCTGGGTCAGATGATGATTGGGAAACATGAACTATATGAAATGTTTTGAAAGTTTTTCGATTCATCACAACTAGTTGTTTTCCTGCTTCATTTACCACATGCTTTCAGGAATGATCTTGTTTGTTATTGAAATCTAACATCGTCTGTACAACCCTAATGCTGTGCACACACGTAGAATTCATATTTATCCTTTTCTGCTGTTTGCATATACACAGAGATAGCATATTAACGATTTCATCTTATCATGCACCAGTTGTAATCCCTTACTGTTCACTATTTGTCTGTCTTTATGCACAAACAAACAGGTTTTCTGCTTTTCTGTTCGCCATTTTCATTTACTATCATCACTCAGTCAAAGTGCCTTAAGAATTATCAACACACATTGCCTCTTGATTGGTGAATTTTTATACTAAATTTGGAAACCTTCCATATCTGTTCACTTCTGACTTTCAAGAAAAACAATACCACAGCATCATGTGTATTTATTGTTTTTTCCAGATTATCTTTTTTTCGGTAGTTTTTGGATGTTAGACTTGATTTGTTTTTTTTGTTTTCCCTTTCTGATTCACATTTCATTTATATTTTCCTTTTTTTGCTACTATGAGTGTTATTAACTTACAATTCCAAGTAAATACCAAGTACATGTACTCTCAAGATATCGTTTTTTTCGCATTCAGCTGTATAGCAACTGTAGGATACCAATAGATGGTATGGTAATGGTGTCGGAGACATGGACAACTTCTAGTTGGTGTTTTTAGAAAGATACTCTCGGTAATTTACCTTAACCGCAACCAAAAGTAGAAGTAGATATCTGTCCCCGTGAAAACGCAAAATAATCTTCCTATATGTTGATTACATTACTCAATTTTTTGTGCAGTTAATGTACCGAAACGTTAAGCCTCAAAATGATGTATTTATAATGCCTCTTGCCTTTGGTTCTTATCCTGTTTTTGATCAAAGTAGTCATAAAGTTCAGCTTAATTTGTATTTTGTAGTGGGTGTCTATGTGATTTTGGGTGTAGTGTTTGTATTTCCCAGGACCCATCGACCAAATAAAGCCAAATCTCCCTCATAACCCACGTAGCCAACTACTATCGCTTTAAACACCACATAGTACTCTATTATGCTTCGTGATCTAATTTACACAGGAGCTTATTTACGAAACGCGTTCAAAGACTTAGAGTATGCCAAATTTTGTACTGATTAGTTACAAACAGGCAAAATATTATCCATCTTGAATGTAAGTGTCGATTGAATTTTTGAAAACTGAAACTATCCATCTGGTTTAAAAATTCCTTTGCATTAAAAGAAGCTAAATAACGCTAAATGTTTACGTAATTTGCCTAGTATTGACAGGGATTCAAAAACGATCTAAAAATTGCGAAAAGGCCTTGTGTGACCGGCCTCAGGCAGATGTTTCATCGGCTGTGGTCACACATTTTTTTCACTTTCAGATACCTTCAAAAGAAATCGCCTTCCACGGTATGAGAAGTGACAACTGTCGGCATGCTTCCAGTTTTAAACAATATCCAATCAAACATAACCTATCCCCGCAGGTCTGTCACCTTAATAGCCTTCACCTGCTGATACTAGTATTGAGCCTATTACGCCTTAGCAAACCTCTCACTCTGTAACCATTGCAAATGACCAAAGCCATCGAAACCTCATTCCTAGTTTCCAAGATCCTCCCATATACTCCATGTAGGAGCTCTCGATGTCCGAACACTCCTAAGTCGGACAGCAAATGTCGCTCACTGGCACTCTGGAATTACTATCCATGGGTGGTGTTTATGAAACACGTATACAGGACCCGAGTGTGGTTATTAAACTGACCTCACCTGGCCATTGTAAGGAATCTTCAAAATTTATCTTGAGGTTATCTGGAGACCCAATGGGTAGCTCCCGAGGACTCGCTGGAGTAGACATAGCATTGAGTTGTAGAGCAGAAAGTGCGCTCCTCAACTGGATACCAGTCAACAGCCATCTATGTGCCATTCGATAGAATGGGTCTGTCAAAACTAGGAAGGATCATGAAACTAACCAGTGCCTATTTGTAATCTCGGCCTGCACATCCACCGAATGTAGTTCGGACGATGCACAGGATGAACTCTATGAGAAGCTGTCAACTTTGCTACAGAAAACAGAACGTTCAGATATAGTCATAACGACAGGTGATTTTTACGCTCAAGTAGGAAGCTGAGTCAATCGGAAAGGCACCTTGATGATATCTACGGAATCCCATGACAAGGAACCCACAACGGTGATCGTTTTCTGTAATTCTCTTCTGACAACTACATGTATCTGGCCAGTACTAACTTTAAGCATAAGGAGAGACACGTCTCACATGGTGTCCGCCGACATCAAACCAACGATGGACAGCGGTAGATTACATTGCTATAAGCCATCGCTAGAGACGATCCGCGGTGCGTTGCCGCTATTTGTGGAGTACCTGTTTAAACTCCGATCATGTGCTACTACAGGCTCGTGTATATCTGCACCTTATTGGTCGCAGAAAACAGGAGGCAATGAGCCCTGTCTGTGCTCGATTGGTAAATGAGGACACCAAGTACGCATTTAGAGAGGAATTGGCTAGGCATTCATTTAGGCATGACAGCAATGCTCATCCTGAGGAAACCTGGTGTTATATTCAGTCTAGCGTAGAAACACCGGTGAAGATAGTTGGTAACCTACACCTGAAGGTTAGCAAACGTCATTGGATTTCCTCAACGTCATCCGAACTGACTGACCTGAGAAGACCGATTCCATCTGGTTGTGACCACGATAAAGAGGGAAAGCAACCTAAACGTAAGTTGACAAGAGTCTCCACGTCGACCACGAGCAGTGGAAGGCGGTGAGATCGAGAGAGAGGGGGAAAGCATCAGCTTTGGGTAACACTTGGAAACTAATTACGCTTATTAAAGATAAAGGCAAGAAGAAAATGACGGGTAGTGGAACCATCACCGAACAGGATGGACCGCCGATAACTTCCCACGACGGATTGCTAGAACAATGGGCGGAACACTTTGAAGCACAGTTCAGCTGACCTACAGCAGCGCTTCAGTTGCGCAACATTCAGCCTGAACGTGAATTAGACGTAGATGTCAGTCATCCAAATCTCCTCGAAGTTGAGAAGGCTGTATTAAAGCTGAAATCCATGCGAAGTAGCAGGACTTGACAATTTACCACTTGAAGGTTTCTAGGATGAAGGCAGGAAATAGTTAATTATAGTGATACATTTACTAGATGGTGTATTGGAATGAGTTAGTGGCATCCTACTGGTCCAGCTCACTGATCATCCCAGTCTGTAAGAAGGAAGAGAAGCCTTTCTATGACCAACATAGGGGAAATAGCTTGACTAATACTGTGTCCAGGATCCATAGTTATCCGACACCTAACTGGGGCTCGAGAACAGCAAACTCGAGAAGACCAGAAAGGTTTCACACTTGGTCGAGGGTTCATCGATCTAATCATATTTCACCCTCCGGCAGGTTCTGGAACACAGGCATACTTACCGGCTAATGGCCGACACTTGTCATATTTCTAGACCTGAAGATGGCATTTGACTATGTCAGCCGTGAGTTGTAGCTGCAGTGGCTAACTGTGAAGAAAGTACCGCGCAAGTATATAACGCCAATCAAGGCTCTCTAATCGAACTCACGCGGCAGTCTGAGAGCTCACGGAGAGTTGTAATATAAACTGAGCATAAATAGTGGTGTCGACTAGGAATCCTCACTATGACCTTTCCTATTTAACAACGTTATAGGTGCAGTAATGAACATAACCCTACATACTTCTGACTTCACAGGGCCTGAACTACTTCCTGGAGGTCACCTGGTTGACTTGGAGTAAGCAGGCGGTATCGTCCTGTTGCGTGAAGATTATGACATAATGTAGAGTCTTCTGAACGCATTGAGCAGACATCTGTGTATGCTTGATATGCTTTTCGCACCTGTGAAATGTAAGATAGTGCTCCAGGACTGGTCTTCAAGCCCTCCAAGCTTAATGGAGTGAAGTGGTGGATTGTTCTGACCACTTTACTTACTTGGGGTGTTGCATCAGCTCGAACGGGCTAGTCACTGACGAAACCACAGCTCGGATAAAGAAGGCTTGTTTGAAATTCGCCAACTTGCCTCACGCTTGGCGTTGACTATCGAGACGTCCGACTATCTTTCAAAGGACAAGTGTACTGCACTGCAGCCCATTCTGTCCTGTTATATGGCTGAGAAGCATGGCTGTTACAGGTAGAAGACATGAAGTGATTATAGAGTTCTGATTGAATATGTCTTCGTAGTATTGCCCGTGTTTGGTGGAAACACTGCAAGAACAATATTGAAGTCAGGCGAAGGGTACTGGGAAAGACAGGTAAGTCGATTGATGAGGTTGTGCACCTAAGTCGACTGAGGTGGATTGGACAGAGACTGCGTATGCCGAGCCACTGCCTACCTTTACGTGCCACGCTAGCAGAAGTTGGGTTGGAGGAGGGTTCAGGGTGCCCAGACCTGGAACCCGCCAATAAAGTCTCTTACTGTTGACCTGAGCTGTATGGGATGGTGTAGCCTGGTTGGAGTCAGCAAGATGAAAAAGACTCAGTAGTTAAGGACTCTTGGTGAAGTGACTGACAATTGGTCACAATGGTGCAGATGTGTTCACTCCTTGAGATCTTAAGCTCGAATATTCGTACTGATCGTTATCTTCAGATTGTCTATTCTCTCACACTACTTTATCTACTTTGATATCACTTATTTCCTATCCACGTATTCTTTGTGTAATACTGTGAAGCGTGGTGACTTGAACCGATGCACTCATGTGCAAGGTTCTACGTAGATTTTGTCGTTTAGTCAGTGTCAGTGACGCAACTAAGGAATTGCGTACCAATATTTCAGTTGGGATCTGTGCTTATTTCGTAATGATAGGAGGAAAGAGAAATAGTTGTGAGTAGCCGGATGACAAATTTGACCGTCACACTTTTGCTATCCCCTGAAGTTGTGTCCACTAGAAAGTAAAACCTAGAGAATTTATGATTTAGAGTT